TGTGGTATTTTGTGTAATCCTAAATATTGTTATTGGAGAATTTTTTATATTTTCCCACTTGCCAGGTGCTAACCCTTGTGGGTGTAGTGCCTCCTATTATGACTGATGGGCTCTCGATGGAAGGGATTAAGCTTCTATTTACCACGCCCATATTTGTTTTACGTGTATGAGCTGTGCAAGCCTTTGGTGTTTGGCTTGAATTGCATATTTAAAGAGGAAGCTAAACTATTTTAAGTTCCTGGTTTAGTGATCCTTGAATATTAAATTTAAAGTTTATTCCAAGACCCCTCAGGGAAGGTTCCTTGATGGCGAGGGGCTTTTGATTTAGGGCTGTATAGTCCTTGTGGCTTAGCGCTTCTTTTTGATTATAATAATAATAATTTTGATTTAGGGAATTGTATCTGCTCCAGTTCCCCGACCCCTCAAGGAAGATTCCTTGATGTTGGTGAGGGGCTCTTGATTTAGGGAATTGGATCTGTGCTCCAGTTCCCCGAATTAAGCCAGAATGCCTTCCACATTACCCCCCAGGCGCTGTATAACCCTCCGGGTTTAGCGCTCCCAGTTCCCCGAATAAGCCTGAAAGCTTTCCACATCCCCCAGGCGATGTATAACCCCACGGGTTTAGCGCTTCCCATTTGATTATAATAGGTATAAACAGGTGAAGCCGAAAAAGCCGTTTATTGGTGTATTTTGATGGCATTTAGGTTCGACTGACATCAAGGGTGAGGACTCTTGATCTAGGGAATTTGATCTGCTGTATAGCCCTTGTGGCTTAGCGCTTCTTTATGATTATAATAATAATCCAGATCCCTGAATACCCTCAATCCTATATTTGCATATTCCTTTAGTACGTCCCACCCTTCAACTTCATGACCCTCGCGGGTTTAGCGCACCACCTAAATTTTTATTAAACTAGCAGTGCTTGATTCATAGCATAAAAATTCATAATACGATCATGGAACATCCAGAAAGTATAAAGCAATGCGGCTACATAACATTCATTCCCAAAATATACATATATGTTTAAATATCTTGATTGTCCATGAATCATCCCACCACACTAACTTGTGGGTTTTAGCGGTTAGTATAGATTATATAATTTCCACCATTTTCAATCCCTTTAGTCGGATCAGTGTGGCGTACCTCGCCCTTTGGTTTTTCCCGGTATTGCTTACTAGTGGGTTTCCATTCTCATATCTTGGCAGCAACCGAAACTCGCCCAGTGGCGCTAGCCGCCGTTTTCTAACAGCAGAAGTACTTGTGTACAAGTCTCTCAGTGAAGAAAACCAACGTAGCGATGGTTGAACCTAGTGCCAGGAAGTAGAAGGCTCCCTGCAGTTGTCCCAGGCCTAGTACCACCAGCCCGCCACTCTTCTGTAACAAACATTACGATACAATGTTAAAACTTGTGCTGCTCAGTTTGTCACGTTTCCAATATTAAGTGCAGAATGTCTAGTAAATAGGATCATTCTTTTTATGTAAAACCGCTGTAGGACCATCGTGGGTTTAGCCCTTTTTTTTCTATCTTTACTGTTAACGTTTGGATAGGTTATCCCCTCAAGGGAGGTTCCTTGATGCTGGTGAGGGGTTCTTGATCTAGGGAATAGGATCTGTGCTTCGGTTCCCTTAATTGAGCCTGAATACCTTCCTCATCCCCTTCCCCACAGGCGCTGTATAATCCTACGGGTTTAGCGCTCCTTGATTATAATTCAAGCTGAAATCGGTTAATACGAAAACTAGCAGTAAGCCAATACTGATTCTATAATGTAAGAGTGGCTCTTCATACAAGGAACTGGACCTGACTTTTGTGGATCGAATCTGATTGCAACCCATTAACCCAGGCGCTCCACAACCCGTATGAGATTGGTGGCCTTCCCCTCCGCATGTATAATCTGGTGTAATGTGAGTGAAGGAGTGATTTGTCTTCAATAATTTGTCGCTTCACCTTGATGCAAATGAAGGGCTTTTGATTCATGGAAGTGGTTACCTGGAGGTTATTCTGGGGATCAACGCCCCCGCGGCCCGGTCCATGACCAGGCCTCCCGGTGGATCAGGGCCTGATCAACCTGGCTATTACTGCTGGCCGCACGCAGTCCAACGTACGAGCCACAGCCCGGCTGATCCGGCACTGACTTTAGGTATCTGTCCAGCTCTTGAAGGCAGCCAGGGGTTTATTGGTAATTCCCCTAATGCTTGATGGGAGGCTGTTGAACAGTCTTGGGCCCCGGACACTTGCGGTTTTTTTCTTAGTGTACCAATGGCGCCACTATTAATTGGGGGAATTTTGCATCGCCTGCCCAGTCTTTTACTTTCGTAGGGAGTGATTTCTATGTGCAGATTTGGGACCATTCCTTCCAGGATTTTCCAAGTGTAGATTATGATATATATCTCCCTCCTGCGTTCCAACGAGTATAAGTCAAGTGCTTCCAAGCGTTCCCAGTAGTTAAGGTGCTTGACAGAACTTATACGTGCAGTAAAGGATCTCTGTACACTCTCTAGATCTGCAATTTCACCTTCTTTGAATGGAGATGTTAATGTACAGCAGTATTCCAGTCTAGAGAGAAGTGATTTGAAAAGGATCATCATTGGCTTGGCATCTCTCGTTTTGAACGTTCTCATTATCCATCCTATCATTTTCTTTGCACTTGTGATCGTGGCACTGTTGTGATCCTTGAAAGTGAGATTTTCCTTGAACCACATTCTCATTCCCAAGCGCTGTATAATTCATGAGTTTAGCATTTCCTCAGAGAAACTTTCCATATACTATACAATGTGTGCTGTGAACTATAGAGGGCTGTATAGCCCTTGTGGCTTAGCGCTTCTTTTTTGATTATAATAATGTGAACTATAGAAAGTTTATTTGCCTGTGTTGTCAGCCATAATTTGTCGTAACCATAAAACGTTTACTCATAACATTTCCAACAATAGAATGTTTCTTGTCAACCACTACTTAAAAACCTCTGGAGTTAATGTTTACTCAGCGTGGTGGGGTCAACAATGGAATATTAACTCACCTGTGGTGTTATGGCCTCCATGGTGTTCTTGCTCCTGATCTCCCTGGTGGATGAGAGAATGAGATCGTTCATCCAGTAGTTAACCAGACCACCTTCCAGCAGTCTAAGTTCGAGTGCGTCAATCCTGGAGCGGAAAGGAGCACCCTTCCTGCGAGTCACATTCACCAGATAGATTTGTTAGCCCATTTCCATGAATAACTGAAAAATGACTACACTGACAAGTTATAGAATAAACACATTCAACGATACTGTATACCATTAATGTAATGAAGTACAGAATTGTCTTCTCTCGAGGGAGTTGCTGGCGCACTCTGCTCGCACATTGAGGTACGTGGTTCGATCCCGGTACGGGTGGAAACATTTGGAAGTGAGGGACCCTTGATCTAGGGAATTGGATCTTGTGCTCCGGTTCCCTGAATTGAGCCTGAATAACTTCAATCACCCTCCACATGCGCTGTATAATCCTACGGGTTTAGCGCTCCCCATGATTACATAATTAAGACGCCTGCTGTCCCTGTTCACCTAGCAGCAGACAGGTGCCTGGGTGTTAGCCGACTGGTGTGGGTCGCATCCTGAGGACAAACCTGACATAATTTGCCCGAATGTTTTGTAATAATAATGTATAGTAAGTCATTGTTGTTAGCAAGGCCTGTATACGTTATACTTGAAGTAAATATTATTAATTAGAGCTCTCCACTCGTTTCTCGGATCAACTTTGATTACTTTCCATTGTTCAAGGGCTCCATGACTCCCTATGGGCTTAGTGAAGAATAAAGCACAACACTGTGACTGGAACAATACACAAATAACCCGCACATGCACAGTGGCATGTACATTCACTATTCTTACCATGCTTCCTCTGTCACGAAAAAATGTTTTTATTTCTCTCCTCTAGCGCTTCTTTTTGATTATAATAATAATAATATTTCTCTCCTCCTTGCTCTCCGCATTTGTGGCCCTTAGTTCCTTGACTGAAATCTCTACTCTTCGAAATTCGTTCTCTTGCCTTAGCTACCCTTCAGATTTCATAAACTCTGCCTTCTCGCCGTGAAAATCTATCTTTGCTTTCCCTGTAATTCCGGTCTCTCAAATCTAAACTCTCCGTTCCTCAGACATCAAACTTATACTTTTCGCCAAACTAACGTCCAGTGACTAGTTAATGGTTCAAGTCTGACAAACGGCGTCATAAGTTTCATTCTCCTATGTGCGCTTTATTTGTGTTTCCTCATGAACATAACAAACAACAAGGCAGTCTGTCTGTGTGACACCGCTGCTTAAAAGGCAAGAAAAGCAAACATCCTTGACACGCACGCACTAATGTCGAGGACACTTTCAACCCTTAAACGGAGACGGAAGCCAATGTACATGATATATAATATTATAATATATATATATATATATAATATAATATATATATATATATATATATATATATATATATATATATATATATATAAATATATATATAAAAATATATATATATAATATATGCACATACGCTGATACACCTGGTTTATTAGGCTGAAAGCCTAGCGACTACTTAAGGTATTTAAGGCTGCATGTCACACATTCACCACCAGTCAAGAATACTTTTATTCCTAATATACCCCTCAAGGAAGGTTCCTTGATGTTGGTGAGGGCTCTGATTTAGGGAATTGGATCTGTGCTCCAGTTCCCCGAATTAAGCCTAAAATGCCTTCCACATCCCCCCCCCCAGGGCGTATAATCCTCTGGGTTTAGCGCTTCCCCCTTGATTATAATAATAATAATTCCTAATATAGAGATTTAGAGAAACTCTTGAAGAGTACACATGTTGATATGTACGCCCCTTCCAGTGTACACACACACACCTAGCAGCGACCAGTGAAGAGGCGGGACCAAGAGCTATAAATCGACCCTTGCAATCACAATTAGGTGAGCACAAACCACACCTCAGTCTACATCTGCTTCATATTCCAGTCAAGACCCATCATGCAACTGGATCCT